TGCACTAGTCCCAGATCTATATTCCAGAGAGAAAGAAAGATAATTATAAAATTTGTGTTTGGGAACAAGCTATACACTTCTGAAGTGAACCAAATACAAAATTAAATGCAGTATACCTCCAATGATGAATTTAGTGAGGTAGACAAGAAACATTTTATAATGATTTTTCAAGTGTTGATAAGAGATGTTCAATTATTGTTCTTGAAAAATCACTAAAGCTTTTTGAGATGGGAAATGGTATTTGATTTGTTGTTCATTAAATGTGCTATCTTAAGAGCATACAGTAGTGAATAAATGTTCAATATGATAAAAATAGATCCAAATGTATCCCCATGCACAAACTCAAGTTCAACTGGGTAAAAGACCTCAACATAAAACCAACCATAATGAACTTCCTGAAACTGAGAAGCTTCTGTAAAGCAAAGGACTTACTCAACAAGACAAAGCATCAGCCTACAGAATGTAAAATGATCTTCACCAGCCCCACACCAGACAGAGGTCTGATCTCCAAAATATACAAAGAAATCCAGAGATGTCATTAAAAGAACAAGTAATCCAATAAAAAAAATGGGTTATAGATCTAAACAGAGAACTCTCAAGAAATGAATCTAAAATGGCTGAAAGATACTTAAGGAAATGCTCAACATAGTTAGCCATCAGAGAAATGCAAATCTAACAGCTCTGAACTTCTGTCTTATACCTGTAAAAATGGCCAAGAGCAAAAAACACTGATGGTAGCTTATGAAAGAGATGATGTGGGCCAAAGGGAACACTCCTCAATTGCTGTTGAGAGTGCAAACTGGTACAGCAGCTTTGGAAATCAGTATGGAGATTTGTCAGAAAATTAGGAAAAAATCTACCTCAAGACCAAGAAATACCACTTTTGGGTATAAACCCAGAGGATGCTCAATCAAACAACAAGGACATGTGCTCAACTATGTTCATAGCAGCTTTATTTGTCATATCTATAACGTGGAAGCAAACTAAATGTCTCTCAACTAAAGAATGGACGAAGAAGATATGATACATTTACACAATGTAGTACTACATAGCAGATTAAAGTAATGACATCTTGAAATTTGCAGGCAAATGAATAGATTTAGAAAACATCATGTTCCATGAGGTAACCCAGACCCAGAAAGACAAATATAACATGTACTCACTCCTAAGTAGCTTTTAGACATAAAGCAAAGAAAAAAATCGTCTACAATTCACAGTCCCAGAGAACCTAGACAACAAAGAAGACCCTAAAAGAGACATACATGGGAACCCTCTTCTACATGGAAGTAGAAAGAGACAAGATCTCCTGAGTAAATTGGGAACGTGGGGATCATGGAAGAGAATGGAAGCAAAGAGGGTACGAAGGGATATATGTCAGATGTTAAGAATGGTTTAGGAGGTAACTGTGGTTAAGGTCTAAGAAAGAATCAGTAAAAGGTATTAGATATACTGTCGAAGTAAAACAATAAATAATTGCTTCTAATCCTTTGCCCTGAGAAATTGGTAGATATTTGTGCTAATCAAAGAAATTGAGAGCTGAGGCAATGAAGCAATCGGATAAGTCAATTTCAGTCTTGCAAGTTTGAAATGCCTACTACAAATCATCGTGACATTGCTGGAGATACCAGAGCACAAACTACTTTGGAGAGGTTTGGTTCAGAAATACAAGTTTGAGCAAAAAGTGAGTTGGTGTTTCAAGTCATAGTACTCGGAACATTCTCATTCTGCTTCTATATCATAGTCACTGATATAGTTAGACAATAATGCAGACACCAAAAATCCCTTCTATCTTTTAGTTTCACCAATGGATATAAGACCTCTATTGCCCCTGCAGCAGAGGAATTCAGAGCTGGAGAGGTTTATAGCCAGTCTTCAATCTTTGTGACCATGAATAATGCATTTTCTTATCCCGAATGGTTTATTGATTCTACACATTATGATGCCCAACCTAACTATAAGGCTCCCAGAACGTGAAGATGTAGTATGTGCTGGTTCATGCTGATTTTTATGCAATATTTCATTTCTAAGCAGATTTTTGTATTTTCTCGATGAAGGTTCTATGATGACAATTAAGGTAGTCATCAATCTGATTACAGGGAAAGGCCAGTTTAGGTGTCCTCTCCATTGTTATTTAGAGTCTTAGCTGGTAATTTCCTTGTGGACTCTGGGAAATTTCTTTAGTGCCATGTTTCTTACTAGTTCTTTAAAGGCTCCCTAAATCAAGAGATCTCTTTCTTTTCTCTCCCTTAATGTCCTTCCCCCTTCTTGAGCATTCTATTCCCTCAGATTCTCCTCCCTCCCCTTCTCTCCCCATCTCCTTCTACTCTCCCTTCTCCTCCAGATTCCCAATTTTCTCAGGAGATCTTGTCTGTTTCCCCTTTCCAGTGATAATCCATGTATCTCTCTCTTAGGGTTCTCCATGTTATCCAGCTTCTCTGGAGTTGTGGATGTTTGGCAGGTTATCTATTGACATACAATTAATATCTACTTATGAGTCAGTACAATCCATGTTTGTCTATCTGGGTCTGGGTTACCACACTCAAGATGGTTCCTTCTTAACGCTGTGACCCTTTAGTTGCCAGAGGTTTCTGCCCTGCCTGGTCCCGCAGCCATTCAGTCCCAAAGAAACACACAGAGATCTAAATTAATCATAAACTGATTGGCCTATTAGCTCAGGCTTCTTAATAACGCTTTCTTACATCTTAAATTAGCCCATTATTCTTGTCTATGTTAGCCACGTGGCTTGGTACCTTTCTCAGTGAGGCATTCTCGTCTTTCTTCCTCTGTGTCTAGGTGATGACTGCAGAATGACTCTTTCCTCTTCCCAGACTTCTATTTTCATCATCCCACCTCTACTTCATACCTGGTTGTCCCACCTATATTTCCTGTCTGGCTATCGGCCAATCGGTGTTTTATTAAAATAAAAGTAACAAATCTTTACAGGGTACAAGACCATTGTCCCACAGTACCCTTTAATGCAGTTCTCCAGGTTGTAGCGACCACAACCATAACTTTTTTCATTGTTACTTCATAACTGTAAATATTTTTGGAGCTAGGGGTCTAGTAAAGCGGTTGTAACCCATAGGTAGAAAACTGCTGAAAAGGGGGAAGCTATCTTACCAAATTATTGAGATAAGCTGCAGTAATATGTATTTCTGAAGTTAATTTAACATAATTTTTCAAGACAAAACCAATTTCAAAAGATGGCATTTTGACTAATAATTTCGTGTTTTCCACTCCTTATGTAATCCATGTGAGCATTTGTGTTGTTTCTGATTTATCCAAAGTGATATGAAAATAAATCTTCAAACATAATATTTAGTCACAAAACCACTAATGAAACATGTTTTTTTTTCAGGAAAATTAATTATGAAGTCAGAACTACTCAATCATAATTTTGAAAAATGAGAGAGGCTGTTAAATTAGTAATTTTAGTTAGCTTTATCTACCACAGAAATGAACCCAGAACACTTAAATTGTTATAGGATTGAAGCCTGTGAGGGTTCAGTGTTTTCTTTCTAGACTTTTGGCATTACTTTATAAACTTTAAAGCTATATTTTATGTAATTTTAACCATTATAATTCTTATTACAATACATCATTCTTTCCCTGATCACTTTATTGAAATGTGACATTTCTGTATCTCATTATTTCAAGGTAATCTTACATATTGAATGTTCTGGATAAAAGGCTGTTAAGACAGATACTATCTCTTAAAAAATGAAGTTTTCTATTCAGAGAGAAGTTTAAATAATCAATATTTCTTTTAGAAGGAATTGCTTTTGATACTGGAGTGTCATCAGAATGCTCTACAACAATACTTTGACATTTAATTTTGAAATAAACCAGATTCTCAGGAGATGCAGGATGTACAGCTCATGGATAATGGAGTTTGGAATGTAGTTATTTTGAAAACTGTTACCTGGTGATGGGGTTTGTCACAGACACTGGATGTCTAAGCAGTTGTTGCTTTCTTTATGGTTACTCATGGGCTTTGATTCTTTGTTGCAATACAATAGCCTAAATCCTAGTATTTGTATGTGTGCGTGTGTGTGTGTGTGTGTGTGTGTGTGTGTGTGTGTGCATTAGCATCTGATAATCACTGGTTTAAGAAAATGAGTTAATTATTGGTATATTTACAAAATAAGTAATAAAAATTGCTGTCTTGACACAGTTATTTAGTCATTTCAGTCAAATGCTGTTTTTAATATGAAAAATACTGAGCAAATCAAGTTGCTGCTGTATGGTTTACATAGAAATTCATTGTATTTTTTCTGTTTCTAAATGAAAACATCTTTACCTGACAACCAATGAAATATTTATTATAATTCAAATGGTAAGTGTCATCTGAAATAAAGCTATACAATTTAAACATAAACAAGTGAAATAGATTCCTGTCGATTTTTTCTTCTAATTTCTTAATGTTTATTTATTTATTAATATTTCCAAGGCCTTGAGGTGTTGTTTGATGGCTCATAACATAGGGTAAAATCAATAAATAATGAAGACAGTCTGTGTTAACCTTACAAGTACAAGAAGAAAAATAGAACATATGTTCAGTCCATTATGAAGATCATATTTACATAAATTTCCCATAAAATCTTCTGATGGAGAATAAATGACTCTATAGGGAAATATGAGCATTAGCAAAGCAATGAAGTTTTCATTAAGTATAAACAGATGCATTATATAGTTGAGTTAAGCTTGCTTATTAGATACTAAATTAACACCAGTTTATATTTAGCTGATGATTTTTTTTAGTCCAAGAATTGCAAGTACTATTCAGCAAACATTTGCATTACAAAAGTCGTAAGCAATAAAAGAAGCATTTTTATATGTATTTAGTCTATTAATCTGATAGTGCTGAGGAAGTCAGCTAGTGGCAATTGTACATGTGTTTGAGTTTTGTGGAATTGTAAAGAAAACTGATAGTTAAATAAACAGATTGAAACAGTATTAAAATAGCCCAAACTGATTTGTGTTTTTCTGAAACATTCCAGGTGTTGTCAAAGTGGATTATGGAGATGTGTCAGTCAGAAAAACACTAAGGGAAAATCTGAAGTGTAAGCCTTTTTCTTGGTACCTAGAAAACATCTATCCGGATTCCCAGATCCCAAGACGTTATTACTCACTTGGTGAGGTATGAATTATTTATTTTGCTTAAGTTATAAATATATTTTGCAAATGGAACAATTTATATGGAGCTCAATATTTTTTTCATGTTATGGATAAAATGCTTTAAGGATTTTTAAATGGTCTATTTTAAATGACTTCTCTTTTTTTTTTTTTTCCAAGGACCATGAAGGTCTTCAGTGTGGTAAACTCTAAAGTAAGGGGAAGTTTAAGATTCAGCATGCAGTATTTTCTTGTTTCTTTACAAATAGACAGTGTTTCGACCAATTAAACTTATTCGTAATTGTTTTCTGTTAACTCCCAAGAGTTTTTGCTTCTGAGTGTCAGAACCATTAATATCATCTGGATTGATAGCAAAACTGAGGTTTAAAACACAGGAAACCACTAAAATTATGTAGCCACAAATTTTGATACAACAATATATTTGACCATAACAACATCTAAGATTGAAAAGTTTGTCATCAGTTTTATTTATTTATTTAATTTAACTTCATAAATGCAGTTTCCCCTACCCCCTCTCCTCTCGTCCCACCTACCTCCCGTCTACCTCACCCCCATCCACTGTTCCTCTAGTTCTGTTCATAAAGAAACAGGTCTCTAATGGGTACCCACAAATCATGGTATATCAAATTTTCTGTAATACTAAGTAACTCCTGTTTCATTAAGACTGGGCAAAGCAATCCAATATGAGGAATAGGTTTGCAAGAGCCACCCAAAGCTGCCTGAGCTCCCAATGCCAAAGTCCCACAAGTAGACCAAACTACACACTTGTCACATGTATGTAGGGGGCCTAAGTTGGTCCCGTGCAAGTTCCCAGGTTGTTGTTTCAATTTTTGTGAGTTCCTATGAGCCAGGTTAGTTATATTTTTTTGTGTGTGTGTGATGTCTTTCACCCCTCTGGCTTCTACAGTCCTTATTTCCTCTCTTCAGCAGGATTCCCCAAGGTAGGCCCAATGTTTGTTGACACGTTTTTGCATGTGTTTCCATCAGTTAATGGAAAAAGGCTCTCTGATATTTTATGGTACCATAAATGTGGGAATCATTACTGATAGATGGAATCCCTTGACTGTTCCAATCGTCAATCTATTTCAGTTAGACAGTAAATGTCAATAGTCTTTGAAAATATTGCAAATAAAAGAAAAAGTGAAATATGTATGTTGGTTCTTAATGTAATAAAATGGGTTTGACACTCATAGTAATGTACCATTCATTTATAAAATATTTAAATTGTGCGATGTAAATAATTGACTTCATAATTATACATATACACACACAATAAATAATCAATTGCTCAAGACATGGCTTATATCTTTTATGATATGTGCTTCCTATTTGTAGTTTTCTACATACTATTGAAAAGTTTCTAATCAAAACTAATTTAATATTGATTGTGATAAAAACCATTTGACCTCAATAATAAGAAATTAGATTAATTAATTAAAAAGTAAAAATTAGATTTAATAATTGAGTTTAGATTTTAATTATTATTTTGTATTTCAGAATAGTAAAATGTTTAATAGTTACCCAGGTTCCATCTAGAATATTTGGTGCTCATACTTTATAGAAAGAAAACAATGAAAGAAGCTTACTTACATTAAGTGGAGCTGATTTTTTCATAACTAATGTGAAGTGCCTTCCCAATACTCCATAGGCCAAATTTGTGTCCTCCATCAGTTGTGCCCCCTTCTTTATGTAGAATTTCTGTTTCATGTGTTTAATATGAATTATATAATAAAAAATTTTATGTGTAGTAAGTGGATACTTTTTTACTTGTGTGCTTTCAGTCACTAATTAGTTCTCCTTTGATGTGTTTTTATGAGGAAAATATAGTCATTGTTCATTCTGAATATATAATACATAACATGAAAAAATCTGATTAATCATGAAACTCAATCTATCTTTTAAAAAGAACATTGTTCCTTATCTTGATATAGATTATTATTCTCAATAAAACATGTTAATAAATCACTACCATCCTTTTAGTCATGGATGAAGTCAATCAAAGAGAACTTTTGGGAAACTCACTGCGACCATCAAACTACTCCTGAAAAATACCTAAACTTTATTTGATTTAACAAAATTAGATATTTACAGCCAAATTAAAATTTCAATTGTAAGATTTGGGCATATCAAAGAAATCTTTTGACTTCCCGTTAAAATAAAATTCATTGTATGCAAATTCCTCTCAATAGTGTACTAAGTTTGAAGTTTCTATCATCTAAAATAAATCAAGTGCCTACACTTAATATGAAAATATTCTCCAAGAATTTCAGTGATTGATTTTGGGGGTCTTTGCAATGTACATAGAATAAGGTGGCATAGTAGATTGAGAAAAGTCCCAACACCTCAAGTCAATCAACATAAGTCTCATATCACCTAAGGTTCATAGTATCATTTGAAATCAATGTAAAGTTCTTCTCTCTTAAGGCTCATAGTCTCTGCAGTAGGTGGTGCTTAATACCTAAGACACAGTGTCTCCAAGAGTGTCTGGGAAGAAGCAACACTAAAGCTGATTTGTCACTGTCTTGATACTGCTCTAAGCACTTTCCATTAATTTTACTATTTTTAAACGACAACATTTTCCTCAATTGAATCTTTATTTTTCTTTTTTTTTCCACAGTTTTTTTTTTTATTAAATTATAAAAGTTTCCATTTCCGCCCCTCCTTCCAACACCCTCCCACTCCCCCCACTCCCTCTCCTCCTCCCTCTCCATCCCTAAGAGCAGTCAGGGTTTCCTGCCCTGTGGGAAGTTCAAGTTCCTCCCCCCTCCCTCCAGGTCCAGGGAAGGTGAGAATCCAAACAGACTGGATCGCCAAAATCCAGTATATGCAGAGGAAGCAAGTCCCAGTATCATTGTCAATGGCTTTTCAGAAAGGCTCCGGGCCAGCCACATTCAGAGAATCCTAATTTATGAAGAAACTGTCACATGGGACTGGTGCAAGTTAATTACTGAAGTCAGGATTCTAATACCTGTTAGTCTAGCACTATAACTCATGCTTTTGTTATAAGTCATAAAAGAAAATAACTGCGTTCTATTCAGTAAAATATTTTTATTAAACAAAATCTGAGTTCTGTCTCTTGTGCTAAGAATGCAAAGCTAAATTAAAAACAAACAAAACTCCTTACTAGAGAGCCATTCTACTGAAATTGAGAGGATGTAAGGGTGTCAAGAGGAAATCAAACAGGCAAAGGAAAAGAGTGAAAATCAAAAGCTCCCCGCATGAGCTACACTGCCTTCCATGGTTCTACTCAAACACCCGATAAGTTTAAGACATTTTTGAGATCTATTGTTTTGAGTTTCCTGGGATATTAATGTACTATAGTTTTCCATTTTAAAACCAGGCTCCAAATAAATCCAACACAGCATTTGTATCCATGGAAACAGAAAGGCTAATTCAGCAAGCTCTCTTCAATTCAATTTTGCTTAACCATGTATACATAATTTAAGATGGACGTCTTGATAATGAGTTAGTGTTAAACTGCTAATGGGCAAAAGTCATGGTTTGAGGCTTTTTCTGTCTTGCTGCCTGGCATGTCTTTCATTCCACAAGAAGGGACTTTCTCCCTAAAAGCATTTCAAAGTTTCTGATGTAGAAGCTACTTGTTATCAAATTATATTTTAATCTATTCATGATGTACTTCTCCCTTAATTTCTAGTGACCTTCTAACCATTTAAGATTGTATGCAGTTCTTTAAAAAGGTCTATATATTTAATGTTGTTCTCTGTTGATAAGAGCGAACATTTTCCATCAATCATTTTTTATAGCTTTCTTCATTCTGTTTGATGATTATCATGTATCAACACTGAAATCAACATGAGTAAACTCATTGATGTCAGACATCATTACTTTATGGTCTGATGTTTACATCTACTTGGACAATTGAAATGTTACTTTACTCTGCTCACAAATTAAGTGCAAATGACTATCAGAAGTTAAAAGATGTGCAATTGCTTTGAACTCAAACCTTTAAGTAACTTAATGAAGCTGTGCCTTTTAGACTCAGTAAGCAGATCCTAACAGAATGAGGAGGCTGAGCCCTTAACAGTACTAAATGCTCTCTTCAGTAGCCCTATATCTTATGTAGATTTAACCTGACGGGTTCAGGTGTTCTAAATATAAGGACTAATTCCTGTATAAGATTTAAATAAATAACCTTCTAAAACAGTATGTTGGTCTGAAATACAGGGCAGTATTCTATATATATTGTGAGATATTTGGAGCAAAGGGCTATCCAAGGTTAAAGGGATGAAAAGCAGGATTTCTGGAGCCAAGTGACGTAACCCTTGGTACTTAAAATTTCCATCTGCATGCTGCCTGGACAGGTTTTGGCATTGGTCTCTGCACTTTGTATTGGGCCGTTGACCTCAGCACTTTTCCTCTTTAACCACATCAGCTAGTTAATGCCCTTATATGCATGCTATTATATTTCTTAAATATTTTTGAAGAGCAAACATAAATAGATAAAATTAGCCATCTCTAAAGCTGTGAGGCTGCGAGGATAATAGATAAGTTCAGTTAGTAACAAGAGTGGAAGCTAAAATGCTTAAAGCCTTAACAACCCTGGTAATCAGATTTATTTATAGATTCACAGTCTTTTTGACCCTTTAATAGGATAACCCATTAAATTAGCATCTAATTCTAGGTCAGACACAAATGTGAGTGTTTTCTCTCCATGCTTTAATTTCAAAATCTTGGAGACACAGAAGTTAATTTTCATCCAGAATAAATGAGGACATGTCTAGGCGAAATATTTCATATTTCTGTTAATTTTGAGTAGAATTCATTCCAATTTAATTCTTAGATAGATATTGATATAGGCAACTGCAATAAACTATAAATAGTTTGAGACTTTAACAAAGTAAGATTGGGCTTTTTAAATAAACAAACTCTTATCCTTCTGAACCACTCAAATTAATAGATATACAGCATAATTAATATGTATCCAATACAGTCCTTATATTATAGAAAACTGACATTATAATACAGAGCCAGTATAATTATTTG